GTGAAAACTGCCTTGAAGTACAATTCCTACCGAGAGACGTGTTGAATCCTTTATAGACGACTAAAATACGCGACGGGGTATTGTAAGTGGTAGAGTGGCCTTGCTTCCACGATCCACTAAGATTCAACCCTATGTCGCTTCAATTCGTCCCTCCATCCTACCGTATTTCCTAAAACGCCTATATTTTTGGAAAACGAGGTTTGCGTTGCTTCTTATATGCTAAAAAATTCTAAGTAGTGGATTGAGACTAGTGACAAAGCCAAAGTTTTGGGGTGTGTTGCATGTGCACAAGACATGTGCACCCAAGGACAAGGCATACAAACAACTAGTTTAATTTTGTCGTTTGAGGGTATGCCATCGCTGCCTTAAGACATGGTGATTAAGGATCAATTAGATGGTTTTGGGCATCATCCATGACTCCCAAGGCCCTTTGGGAACTCATGGAAGTACTTGGATGTATAATCTTGTCGAGTGAAAAAATGATGTAAGGAGGCCAAATTTGAAGGCTATAATACACGAAATCGGAGCAATTTAGTAGGTGTCCGGACCCAGTGTCAGAAATTCACAGAATTTTACGGGATGCATCCCGGGTTCACATGATGTTGTTAAGACCCATATACAACCATAAGTGAGCTACATAAAGGCTCCGTAAAAGCTTATAGCCAATACAAGTGGCGTGTACGGAAACTAGTAAATTGGATGCTTAAAGGCAAATTGGATGGTTTAACCCAGCCAATTGGACTCCGGGAGGTTATCAGGGTCTATAGGTAGCTTCTCGTCAATTTTTTATCCCGGTCAAAAAAAGTCAAAAAATGGCAAAATTAAAGGCTATAATACACGCTTTTTGGCCAATTTCGGAGGTTTTGGGACCTGGTGTCGAAAAGTCTCGAGATACAAGGGATCATATAATGTGTTTGGAACCATATATGATCATTATATGTTTCCATAAATGTTCGTGGTAGCCTCGATTTTATGAAATTGGTGCAAGTTGTAAACGTGTAAATTGACAGTTTGAAGGTATATTGGATGTCTTTAACCACCCAAATGGACTCCTGGGGTGTATTAGGGTCCATGGGAAGGATCTCATCAATTTTTATTTCCGGGTTTAAAAAGGTGAAAAATTGTCTAAAATTGAAGGTTATACCCTAATACACGATTTCGAGTCAATTTTGACATTTTTTCGAAAACTGAACTGAATACATGGGGTGACTTCCGGGATCATATAAGGTGGTTTAAACTCATAACAAACCTATAAAAATGTCTATAAAGTACCAAGAATGAGTTATGATTCTATTTTGAAATTTTGGGGTATAATGATGTCACAAAAGTATATTGAAGTGATAGTACTTGACAATTATGATGTCATATGAATATAATTATGTCATATGAATATAATGATATCATAAAAGTATATTATGATGTCATAAAAGTATATTGAAATGATGTGACTTGACAATAATGATGTCATATGAATATAATGATGGAAGTGATAATAATTTACCATTCTTTGATGTCATGAATATAATAATGGAAGTGATATTACTTGACAATAATGATGTCATATGAATATAATGATGTCTTATAAGTATAATGAAGTGATGTGACTTGACAAGAATGATGTCAATATAAGTATAATAATGTCATATTATGTAATTATATTTATAATGATGTGATGTCATAATATGATGGGACTTGACAATGTTGAAGTGATGTGACTTCACACTATGGTTTGGAATTGGAAAAGAACGCATGTTATATATGATGTAACTATGAAGTATGAATAATCATACTACTATTCCATCACGAGTGCAACTAGGCGCATAGCTCATATATGTTTAGGATGCATATAGGAGGATTAATTGTTAAATTCACTTAGTTTTTGAGATTAATTTATTGCTACAGTGGTATTTTTAATGTACTATTATACTTATAGTGGAATGTTTAAAGTACTAATAGAGTATAAGCTATTTTACTAGTACTATTATAGCTATTATAGGTAACAGTGGTACAAATATTGTACCACTAGGGAAAAAAAAATTCACCACTACTTTGTCGTATAGCTACTATTTACTTGGCAGGTAAATAGCAGCTATGCGCCTATACTTAACCTTCCATCACATGTGTATTGATTGATGTGTCGATTGATAGACTATGGATAGTAATTATACTTTTATGGAATCATCATAGTAGTACTATTCATGTTTGTAATCTAAGTATCACATCTCATATTCTATCAACAATTAACACAAACTGTCCCTCAATCACCATGTCCCGGGGTCAATTGGCACATTCCAGGTATAAATCAACCTCGAAAAACGAGCAGTAAGGGTAATATGGGATGTACCACAGTGTCAAAAATACATCCCCCTACCATTCCAAACCTTTTTCGCATCTTCTGGGACCGTTTTAGCAATTTTTCCAGTTTTTTCAATTACCGCCTTTTTCCCGTATTTTCCACATATAATATATAAAAAGCATTTATTAAAAATCATATGATTAGTTTGTGTACTATTATTATATCACCTAGACTCTTACACTATCCACACAATTTTCTTTCATCGCCTTTCGTGATTTATATGTGAAAAAATATAGTCATGAGGAATCTAGTTAAATTCATCTATCTACTTTTCGATCATCATTTTTTTTTTTAATTTTAACTAAATTTATTTGTTCCAAAACTAAAACTATAATTAGAGATATCGATGACCAACTTAATACATTAACAAACGTGAAATCACTATTAGAGTCTGTTCACATTTACTAAACTAAGTAGAGCTGAAATAAACTGAACTAATTGGAGCTGAGCTGAACTGAACTGAATAGAGATGAAATGAATATTTTATGAGAGAAGGAAATTAGAAGTTGAACTGAACTGAACTGAACGGAAATTAAGCTGAAGTGAACAGACCCTTAGTGCAGTTTAAAAAAAATAGAAGAATTATCATTGTATAAAATTGTACTTCATTTTTTTACACTATTCATATATTTTACCTATGCTGATTTGTAGTTATGGAAAAAAAATACTTATATGTTACTTATTAGATTAGTCTCGACGTATATGTTTTAAATATCAAATTTTTATACTTCCTCATATATTTTCTTTGAAATGCAATACTTTGAGTTTTGAGCTATTCATATACTCCAATTTAACCAGCTTTGTTAATTTTTTTTTTTTTTTTAAAAAAACACCTGGGTTCTTATTATATTCATCTCGGTACTTTTAATCAAGTTTTTATAATTTTTACACATTAATAATGAAATATATTAATGGTTAAAATAACACATTTACAAGCCAAAGAAAATAGAGGAATATACATATAATTAAATATAAGAGTAATTGAAACAAGACATTGATACGGTTTCAAAAAAAAAAAAAAAAAAAAAAAAACATTGACATTTGACATAAGTGAAATGAGAAATATTATAAAAATTATATAGTAATTTTTTTTTAAATTTGCTTTTGTTTGTTGAAATATGGTCAATACAAGACATATGCGGCAAAAGTCAAATTGAAACAATTAGTACATACCAAAGATGGAGGCAGTACCATATAAGGTGGAAAATTAGTTTATTGTGGAATTAATAGTAAAAATTAGTTGATGTTGTTTCTAGCTACTAGGATTTAATTTTAGAAGTTGATGTTGTAATCCTTTATGCTATCTATTAGGGTTTAATTTTAGAAGTTAGTAGTCAAACTATGTTTTAAATGCGTTCTTTGCGCAATTAGTTGTTGAAGTGTTGAAATTGATACTATAATACTTTGTTTTGTATTGATACGTTGTGTCAAATTACAAAGTATCATCCTTCTCTCTTTTATTTCCATTTTGGAAAGACGATTCCTCCCTCTTATTTATTATAAGGGTAATGCTATATGCAGCCCTTAGGGCTGCATATAAGCATTTAATATCTTTCCTTTTTAAGTATTAAATTGGGAATTTATCAACAATTCACGAGTAAATCGGTGTAATAATTGTATATTTATTGTCAATTCTTTCTACTTTTAGCTTCTTATATGCAGCCCTTAGGGCTGCATATATCTTTTTCCTTATTATAAATACTAATATTCTTAAAAACTCATTTTTGTACCAGTAGTTTTTAAAAATACATCATCCAAAAAAAATCAATAATGCTTTGTTGAACACAACTTATTTACAACATATGAAACAAATGATGGTTTGTTAAACACAACTTAGAGTAAATATATGACTATACAAAACTACAATATATTTTGGAACACGCTTTGTAGCAGATGTATGATTAAGGGAGAAAAGTAGCAGTACTAGGGCCCCGTTTGGTTTAATGTAAAACATTTTCAATGGAAAATTAGTTTTCATGAAAAACATATTTTCAAAGAAAAACACAATTGCAAATTAGTTTTCCTTTGTTTGGTTGCATATAAGAAAAGTCCAAGAAAAATAAAAAATAAAAGTGGAAATGTAAGGATGAATGAGAGGGAAGTAAAAAAAGAGGTAAAGAGGAGAGAGGAAAATGTGGCTTGTTTTTGGAAGGAAAATGTTTTCCATCATTAAGGTTGGAATTTTCCACCCTTGAAAAATTGTTTTCCACTCCTTAACAAACCAAACAAAGAAAAATGGGAAAAAATAGAAAATTTATTTTCCATGAAAATCTTTTACATCAAACCAAACAGGGCCTTGGTGAAAGATTTCAGAAGTTACCACCATCTTGAAACAAGACAACATAGCCTTACCTTCAAATAAAGTTCTCACTTGTTACAAACAATAATTGAAGTTTTTTAAGTAACATGATTGAATTGAATAATGCTTTCAGCAACAGTAACCTTATCTTGTTTAGTCGACATAAATTAAATATATTACATTTATAAAAAATATAATACACCTATTAAGTCTAATACATCATCATCATATAATAAAGACAATAAGAAAATAACAATTGCCCTAAAAAGCAAGTTTCAGCCAATAAGAATCCAGCAATAGATCCACCCCCTCTCGATTAAGTACAGCCACGAAATAGAAGACCAGTTTTTTAAATTTATTACTCTGTATTATTAATAATTAATATTATTACATGAAATTCCGTCATAGTCCCTTTACATTTCGAAGGGACAATTTTTAATTACATTTAATTTAATTTCTTTCCGATGTGGACCTGCTCCTTCAATCCAATCAACAGCGAAAAAACCCGCTGTTGATTAAATACAACATTAATTAACCTAACATGAAAATAATTAAACTAAAATTATATTTCATGAAAAGAGGAAAAAAAAATTAAGAGAGAAAAATAGTGTTACAGAGAAGCTTAGAAGGGTCGAGAACTTTCTTTCTTACTTTTCTTTTTCTAAAAAGAAGAATTAACACTTTCTTTTTTATAAACTTTTTTGTTTTTTTTTTTAACAATTAGTACTCGTATATAAAAATAAAAACAATTGATTTAAAAATCAAAATGCTGGAACGACGCCGTATCCACCATTATCAACGGCGAAATCAATCTCCGACGTTTCGTTAGAATCATTACGTTTCGCGAAACGTCCTTTGACTCTAGGACGCGTTTCGGCATAAGCCTTTCTAGAAGCGTACCGAATCGTCTTCTCGAACTTTCTGTTCTTCCTCTTCTCTCTGTACCTCAACACCCTCGCTTCTCTGTTCATCGTGGGACCTCCGTCCGGCGCCGTCGATTTGGCAAAACCGTACGAAACCTCCGAGGTCATCGATGTTGCGCTTCCGTCTGGAACTACTCCGATATCCGATGACGAAACCTATAATCACAAAAATAAGTAGTATCAATTGACCATCCATAGCAATAAGCGTTTTAATAAAACAAACACCTGTATAAACATATATAGATTATGTACATATAATTACCGAGTAATTGAATGAAGGCGAAAAGAGGTGAGATTCGTTGTTGTGGTTCTTCTTGTGGTGTTTGTTTGGTTGAGTGAAATCGATGTTGAAGCAATTATCGAACAAACTGTCGGAGTTCACGTAATTGATACTATTCTTATTAATAGAAAAGTTGTTGTTGTTGTTGTTGGAATTTCCCTGCGATTGTGAAGGAACAACGCTATCTGCAAACGCGTAATTACGAGCATCGTCATCAACGATGATTTGCGGTTTAGTGTCAATTTGTGGCTGAAACTGAAATTTCGAACAACCGAAGTCATAATTAAGGATATCAGATTCATTGTAGAGGAAGCTGTTATTCGGATTCGGAATCAACCAAGCGTCCGCATCATCGCTGCTGCTGTCATTCGTCACGGCCGTGTTGCTGTTGTTGTTTCCGACTACAATATCACGGCTAGCGTCGAGGTTATCCGGGACGAGGAAGGCGGAGGAACGGCCAGCAACGGCGTCGATGGGTGATTCAAGAAACGGGATAACAGCAACACGCTCATGGCGGCGAGCCAGCGGGTTAGCCGAGTGGATGTCATGGTCACAGGAAGAGCAGAGGTTAGCTCCGTCCGCCTTACAAAAGACGAGAGCAGGTTGTGACTCGCAGACCTCGCAAACCCAAACACGTTCGTGACGAGGATATCGGGTAGTAGGGTGAATTTTGGCATCGCACGGGCCGCACAAGAAGGCGGAGTCCGTGTTGCAATACAACAATGAATTGGCGATGTTGCAATTGTCGCACGGCTTGCCCGTGAGAGTGAGGCCCCACCCGGTTAGCAACCCCTTGATGCTGTTGTTGTCGTCTGTAGTAGGAGTCGCTGCCATAAGTGGTGGTTTTAGAAAGTAGAGAGAGAAGCAAAATGAAGAGGTTATTTGAGTGAAAGAATGATTATATTGGGAAGTTTAGTTTAAAGAGGGGGTGTTAAAATGAGAAAATGGTAATAGTGTTGTAATGTTGTTGTAGTAGTAGTACAAATTTACCAAAAAATGGGGGGAAGGTGATGACGAGGTCAAAAGGACACGTGGAAGAATAATGGCCAAGTATGATGATTTGGGAAAATCAATTTCTTGGTTTTAGTTTAATTTTGATTAAATTAAGTTAATTTTAAGAGTTGATTTGTAATGAATTTATCAATTGGGTTGTTTACTTGGGAAAGAGGGAGGAGGGGTTGTAGCTATCATGGATTCATGGGGCTGTGCCGACATAAGACATTTGTAGGTCCCACAAAAGCTTGGCAATTTGGGCTAAGATTGGGATGTTGTCAATTTGTTTTGCTATTGCTTGGTAATAATTTTGGGGTTTTAGGAATGTGAGTAACTTAATTTTGTGTTGTTTATAACTATTTGTTGATTGTGATATTGATGGTAAAATGGCAAGTAATTTAGATATGGGTTAATAGAATGTAAATAAGTTAGACTTGTAGATAATTGTGCTAATCGGAATTTGTTTATTAATTGAATTACTATTTTTGGTAAAGTGACGAATATTTAGGAAAAAAATAAACCGTTGCACGTGATGTAAAGTTAATTTTGTTTTCATAAGAAAGGTAAAATTCGTTATTTAAGGTAAGGAAATGTGAATTATTGGAATAAAATCTCGCATAAGTTAACCTAACTGAGTTAGCAAGCAAGACTCGTTAAGAAGAGGAATAAAGGTAGGAAACACTCCACCCAAAAAGTATTCTTAGTGGAGATTGATCACAGAGTCTCGCGTAAATTTGTTTGAAGAATTGTTAGCATAATGGTGTTTGACAACCTAAAGTTATGACTATGATTTACAGTCTTATTAATGTCTTAAAAACTATTATTATACACTTTGATGTGATTTATAAAATCTCTAATTTCAATCAAGCTAGAATTAGGCACGTGTTGAGTTGTTGTGAGGGATAATCAGGCACAGTACAAAAAATGACCTGATTCGGCATGAGCCAATTACGACAACAGAAGCATTCTTATGGGTCATGCATGCATGGACATTTTTTTTTTTTTTTTCAAATTTTGGTCTAACTAGGCACAAGCACAACAAGTCAACCCTCTTATATTTTGCGATGAATGGGTTAGAATAAATAAAGAATTATATATGAAATAGAAGAATTCTTATTAGTTTCGCAACCAGTTATGTCATTAATCGTACCCCTCCCCCAAAGTAGTGATGTACTTTAATTTTCTCCACTTAAAGGTCGTGTTGTTGAGCGCACCCGAGCGAATAGTTTGTGATTCAACCAATTTTGCCTATGGGTCTAACCTAGTGAAAAACCTATAATATTTTTTGAAAACATACTTAAATTTATTGTTGACAATAAATATAAGGATGCATCAAATCTTTTATAGTTTTTTTTATGTATAAAATTTATTTTTGATATGAAATTTTTTTTAAAAAAAAAATAAAAAGATAAGGTATAAACTAAGAAATGACACGTGTCATTGGCGTATCTTTTAGTATATATAATATATAAAGTATTGATTGATAACACCCCTGTAATATTATTGGTTAAAAGATTATATTGATCTAATTATTTGGGAATAATTGATTACTCTTTCAATCTCATCCTTTTTATTATTTATGTTTGGAATATTTTTATCTCTATAATTTCTCCAAATATGGCTATAACTAGAGCTTTGCGATTAATTAAATTTATTTATATCACTATTTTTTTTCTACTTTTTTAACTCAAAATAATTTTAATTCATTTCATTTTTAGGATTGATGATTGTGTAGTGGAAATAAAGATGTATGGATTGAGAAAAATAATAAGTTATAATAATCAAGCAAGACAAGTATCTAAAAATTAAGGCAACACACAGTTACACGTCGAAAAAACCTTCTTAAGAGGTAAACAACCCACTAACGACGAGCATTGAAATCCACTATATTATAAAATAGGAGAGTACTATAATCTTTAAAAGGGTGAGTCATGAACTAATAAGGGAACTCTTAGTATAAGAACTCACAAAGGCGTATTACAAGAAGATAATAGAAAATTTGTAGAATAGATGGAGCTTATGTGAAAGGCTTATGTGTCGCTTCCTATGCCCCAATTGAATGCTCATAACCTATATTAATAGTTAAAGATGGAGGTTAGAAGAAATAATCGGAAAATTTTAGAAATTCCTTCATCATTCTTGGAGCCATAATATTCTAGAATGTTCAAAAACTGTATTTCTAGTTGCTTCCATGCAGTGTCAAGAATTTTATATAGAACGGTAAAGTAGATTATTCTAGAAAATTGATCGAGCACACTCGTGGCTTAATTTTTTTGGAAGCTTTTAGAATATGCATAAATATTCCTTCAAAAAAGGGCTTATAAAATTTGGGCCACACGTTATATTTCGGCCTCATTCACTTCACCTTATTTTCGCTGAACTGGAATTATTTTTAATGAACTGAAATTAATTTTGCTAAATTGAAATTATTTTTTCTGAACTGAAATTATTTTTACTAATTCTATGTTATATTTCTTCTTTGAATTTACTGATTTTTTCTGAACTGAAATTATTTTTACTAAACTAAACTTATTTTTACAAAACTAAACTTATTTAATTATACTAAACTGAACTTATTTTTGCTGGATTGAACTTATTTTTACTGAACTGAAATTATTTTTATTTAATATTATAGAACAGGACCTTACAATTTTCAAAAAATAACATTTTAATTTATATTACAATACTAATTTCCTAAAATACTTTATTAAAATTTACAAAATTATTGGGAAAACAAAGAGTATGTGATGGAGGGTGAAGCAACGAGCAATGCTATGACAACACCTACGCATTTCGTTGCACGATGCTTTAGGGCCGGTTTCGATCCGATTTACTGAAAACAACTTAACTAAACTGAAATGAATTATTTATGAGAGAAGAAAATTAGGAATTGAAGTGAATTGAAATTAAGCTTGACAGAACAAGCCTTTACTGGGATTTTTTGGGTGATGGTTAGGTGGTATATTCCACAAGACTAACTATAATGTTGAGTAAGTTCATAGGATAGAGAACCTACTATTAGACTTTAACTATTATAGATATATGGTTGGAGAGATAGAAATAAGAGGGGTAAGGGGGGTTTTTCTTTTTTGTGGCTGGCCACACCATGTGGCCAGGATTATTCGAGTAAATCGGTCAGGGGTTACTCGAGTTACTCCTGACCGAGTAACTCGAGTAATCTTGCCATACGGTAAGGCCAGCCATGCATATTCAAAAATTTGTCTCCTTCTAATCCCCATCCTACTAAATAAACACTACTTTTCTTCTATCACTACTTTTTTATCCTTATCCCACCTCCTTTTATCCCCCTAAACAAAAACCCTCTTAGTTTACACTTTTGCATTGATTGAACGAATTGGACTTGTATAATTGATTATCCTTTTGTATACCTTAAGGGGCCGTTTGGTTGGGGGTATTCAGAAAAGGGAATGGGAATCAACTGCCCCGATTCCCTTTGTTGTTGTTTGTTAAACACTTTTAATCATTCCCTTTACCCTCTCCATTACCCCAAATCCTTCCAACTTCATTCCCCACCCCCCTAGACTTTTCCATTCCCTTTCCCTACCAAACTTTACACCACCACATCACCACCTTCACACCTACCAACACCACCGGATAACCAGCCCTAACCACCGCCGCCCCTACCCTGACCACAGCCGCCCCTCCCCCGACCACCGCTGACCCTCGCCGCCCTACCCTCACCCGAAAAAACTCTCCAACCACACCAGAACCACCCTGAAAACCCCCACTTAGCCCTGAAAACACCACCTAACCTCAAAAAACTCAACCCCAAGCCACGAAAACACTAGCACCCCTGAAAAACACCACCACCCCGAAAAAACCACCCAGCCCCGTAAAACACCACCCAATACTCTACCCCCAGCCTCGAATACCTCCACCCCAACTTGTAAAACCCCACCTAGCCCTGAACTTAGCCTCGAAAAACTCCACCCCAGCCCCGAAAAACTCCAACTAGTCGGCGTAAATCGCTGCGATTGTTGGCGATTAGGGTTGTTCGTTAGCAGATGCAGTTGCGGCTGGTGATGGTTGGTGGCTGGCTGCGGTGAATTGGTGGTTGGAGTGTGAGTTTTGCGGAGCATGGGAGCAGTGAAGGAGTGAGGTGGTGTTGGGCGGCGAATTTCTGGGTCAAGGGAGATCGGGGCTAGGGGTGGTTTTTTTGGGGGAGGGGAAGACGGCGAGGCTCGGGGGAGAGTTGGCGGTGGTCGGGGGAGGGGCGGCGGTAGTCTGGGCTGGTTGTCCAGTGGTGTTGGTTGGTGTGAAGGTGGTGATGTGGTGGTGTGAAGGTGGTTGGATTGGTGACCTTTTATTCAATCCATTCCTTTGTTATTAAAAACAAACAACACCCCAAAATTGGGGGATTTTCATTCCATTCCTTGTCTTTCCCTTTGTTCATTCCATTCCGATTCCCCAGTGCGAACCAAACGGCCCCTAAATCTTATCTATGCATATAAGGATTTAAGAAAACTACTCAGATCTTGGTAGCTAGAATAATGTTTGTATAGTGGACTTCACACATTCTGAGTGGAATAACTTTATCAGACCTAATATATTGAAGTTCCAACTTAATTAATTACAATGATTACTTGATCGTTCTTCAAAAATGAAATAAATTACAAAAGTGTAAAAAAAAAAAAAGGTTATTATACATTGATTACATTCATACGTCAACGAAATTTAGATTGGTACGTCAGTAACGAAATAAGGTTTTCAACAGATTGTTAGGCAAATGATGTTTATATGAATCATTTTAGGCCTAGTATTTAAGATAATGCATTGCCTAATGTTCCTTTAAAAAAAATTAAATAAAACAATTATTATTAAATTGCCTAATGCATGTTATAAACCAGCTTTGTCCTTATTCTTTTTTAAGCAAACAGAAAATCATGTCATTAGTTAGGCATTAATTATGATAATAACCAAGTCAAAATTCATCACATGAATGCACGATAATACGATATTAGAAAGCCATAGCTTTGTCCTTTCTCAAATACAAAGTACAAATTACTTGTGAAGTTCGTTGTGTACCTAAACTAGAAAAAGAAACCTAAAAT